GGATAAATGAGTATATAAAAATATGACTGGGTTAATTTTTGAAAATTTTTGCTTCGTATTTCTGTTAGCAAGGTTGTTTAAATTGAATCTATTTGAAAGCGTTAATGCACCTTGTTTCTCATGAGCAAAAAAAGAAGTTTAAAATGAATGACAATTTTTGCAATCTGCTATCGCGTTTCTATTATCATTTTGGAAGTGATTGACTTTAGCCAAGCATTACATTTAAATATAGTTATTTTTTGTACTTTGTTTGTTGCACACAAGAACCAATAAACTCCCCACACATTGGGCTTATTGACAAATAATGATAGTGAGCATTTATGGAAACTGAAATGTCAGAATAAACTTTTCATCGCCATTCCCAAATAAGATGACAATTCAACATAACATGGAGTCAATACACTGATGCACTGTTTAAAACAATTGGAAGCTATAGTTGTAAAAGTGCCATGGACTAAGAAAAGCAGTAATAAGTAGAAGTGGTACAGTCCCCAAATTTGTAAGATGCGTATATAATAAAGAGTGATTTGCAAAGAAGAGACTACCTGAAATTAAACAATTCGCCAACATACTGATCTTGTGAAAATTGACAGTTGCATGTATTCCTGAAGACAGAACTACAGGTAGTCTTCAACTTACAACTACAATTGATGTTGCTGAGTGAGAAATTTGTTAAGTGAATTTTGTCCCATTTTACACTTTCCTGCCACATGTGTTAAGTGAATCAGTGTAGTTGCTAAGTTAGTAACATGGTTAAGTAAATCTGGCTTCCCCATTGACTTTGCTTGTCATTAGGTCGCAAAAGGTGATCACATGACCCCAGAACCCTGCAATTGTCATAAATATGAGCAAGTTGTCAAACATTGGAGTGTAAATTGTGTAACCATGAGGATACTGCAACGGTCATAAGTGTGAAAAATGGTCTTACTTTTTTCAATGCCATTGTAACTTTGTATCATTAAACAAACTGCTGTAAGTCAAGGATCACTTGTAAAGCTGACATTATACCCAAGGTAACTGTTAAGAAGTATATCAATCAAAGATATATATTGGGATGGATGGATGCAAAAAAATCCCTGATGAATGACATAATATATCAGTGCTTATATTTAAATGTAATGTATCTGATAATAGAATGCTTCAAGCCAGTACTAATATGAAGAGGGAACTGGGTGTCCATTTCTATCACCTTTGGCTGCTGCTATTGCTGCTACCTTTCATCTGAATGCTCTTCCACGCTAAGATAAAATATGAAAAATACCTGCATCGATAATATGTCTGGATCAAAGTGCTATCAAAGATTTCAACATAGCCATTTCCATTGGCATGGTATTTTTTCAGTGTGATTGAACAGTTTGCTTTTCATTTGCAAGAGGAAAGAAAAAATGCAAGAGGAAAGTTAGTTCTTTCTCTTTCCCTCTCATTATGTTTATTTGTGGAGCTATGCTTGAATACAACAGACAGAAAAGAAATATAATGAAACCATTTACAACAAGAAGAACATTCCCAATAGTCCTCTCTAAAGATTAAGAAAAAAGAGTTGTCAGAATTAAACTGTTGCATACTTCCAAATATGTAGGATCAGAAAGTATCAAAGTACTATGCTTTTTTAAACATTTACTACACTTAACCTCTTTTCTGAACAAAAGTTTATATCAAGTTAGCTATTAACCATTTAAAAAAAGATTCAGTACTGGAACATATAGTAATATACCCCACTAAAATTAATAACCAATGAATCAATAGCTGGGACAAAATTGAAATGCAAATTTGCATTAACTCATTACTTTAAATAGAATTCAATGAGTTTTAATTAAATTTTTAGTAAGAGATCAGGCCAAATGTGCATGATTGAATCTCTGCCTTTGTTTATATCAGTCATAAAATGCACATTATAACAGGCAGGGTTTCAACTGCAGCCTCATAACTCTCATCTTGATTTTTTGGCTGGACAACTTGGAGCAGGGGAAAAAGAGTATAAATATCCTTTTCTGAAGAATACAATGCCTTTACACAGGATCATAATGATAATAACAGGTAGACGTGGAGGGCTTTAAAATGAATATATTAAATTGCATCAAAAATAATCAGTGTTTCCTGCAGGTCTTTAAACATATAAAAATGAAATTAACACAGTGCCATGCAACGATTTCATTCCAGTTTACTCTATTATTTTGCACCAAGAACAATTCTAGTTACTCTTCCAAGGCAGCTTCAATAAAAGCATACCTTTAACTATGATGGAACCACAGCATGAGTAAGTTGCCAGCTCCAACCAACTGGAACTGTTTGTGCTCCTTTGATTCAAATATGTATTTTTCTGTGAAAAAAATAAAGAGGCGTTGCTTTTTAAAGAAGGTGATCCATGCCCTTTCCCAAGAGCTTTTTCTTCTTTGGATCTGAATAGCTGTATATTTTGTGCATTTCCTCATTATTATGCATATTGCTTCCTACTATTTTTAGACCACAAACTTTGTTCTGGAGAGTGACAATCAATATATACATTTTGCTACATTTAAAATACTGAACATTTCACTACACCCTTAAATCACAAAAGCCTGTTAGTGGCTTATCTTGGACATATGTTTATCCAAAATCTATGTTGAAAATAAAACTGTGATTGGCATAGAGTAGAAAAGAAGGACATTATTTTTTCTTGGTGTTTATCCTTCACTTAATAACTACAATAAGCTCTTCACAATTCAGCCTTGATTATGTTTAACAGTATCTTACGGACACATCTGCTGAAAATAAAGATGTAATTAATTTTCATTGTGGGTTTCCTTTCTCAAAAGCTTGTTAGGGCCTATATACAGTATTCACCATATTCAACTTGAATTCTAAACTGTTTCAGAAGTTACAATTAGTAATCCAGAATTGTTGGGGAACTAGTTAGACTGTGGTGGCCTACTTCCATAAATATCTCTGGATTTCAATCAACTGAATAAATACTAATATTTTGTCCTTTGTCTATGTATGCTAAGCACATCATACACTGTCTGGAGCTCTTAGGAGATAATCCATTAAGACTACACCACATTAGCCACAAAGCAAATGTTACATTAAAAATATTAAAATGTTGATGGTAGTTTAGCTTGAGATGTATTCCCCTTTCCTATGATGAAGAAAGAGTACATCACAAATTCTGAATTGCTTCTCTATGAAATGGAGAAAATCACACACAAAAACAGTAATTAAAAAGCATTTCCTGGAAATGATTATCTTACTTTAGCTCAATCAACTAATATATTCTGTAAGAGTAAGAACATTCTACAAATATTGTAGGGTATGTGGACTAACATCTTACTGCAAATCATTAGTGATCACTAATTATTATTAATGTGAAGCATCTAAAATATATAGTTGTTTTGCCAGAAGTAGCTACTCCATGCTGGAAGCCATCACAAGTCAATATATTTTAGCAGAAAGATTGGCAGTTAGGTATTTGTGTAACCGGGTCCAGTTTCAGTCACTAATATGTCCACTTTTTCTAAAAAAACAACAACCCCAAAACAAACAAGATCTATAGGAAGAATCTTTCCCATAGTTCTCAGAATGCTGACGCCTGTCAAAGTAAAAAGAAAATAAAAGGATCATGGCAGCATGAGCAAAGAGTAAGTCTCAGTTTGCAATCATGCCAAGACATAATTATTTAAGGATAATTTGTTGAAAAAGCCATAGTGGCCTGGCCTGGTTCAGATATAACACTTTCATAAACTATGGTTTAGAAAGATAGTGGTTGATCCCACATAATGCACTATTAATACAATATTAAACAAACCATATTATACTTTATAGCAATGTGTGAATTCAGCAACGTGAATTCAGCCAAAGGTAAGAAAGAACAAATAAAAAAGAAAGCTCTAAAGAAACACCATAATAATCTATGTAGGAGCTGAAACAGTATTCTTAGAAAATAACACATTTACTTTACAGAGGAACATATGAGATAATTTTGAAGAAGGAATGTAAGCAATGTTAAGGAAACAACTCAGTCCTGCAAAAGACACTCAAGTATAAAAAGCCAAATCAAGATAAGAATATGACTGTTTCATATAACATGAAGTAAAACAATATTTTGTCAAATTATCAAGATTCCATTATTATACCTACAAGAATGAAGAAAGTTCCAGAAGTGCTTGTGTTGTCTATTATCTAACCTGATTTATCTCAAAGGGCCAATATATACAGTATAATACATTTATGTATCATCATAAGCATTCTGAATACTGGTAATCAAATTTGTTCTGAAGTTGTAAATGGTCTTAATTGTTCACTATTCTTTTTCTAATTCATCCTCCTAGAGGATCACACAATATCCCCCTAAATATTGTTAATTGAACACTGAAAGGAAGTATTTCTTTTATGAAAAAACATCAGTACCATGTGAATGATCCCAATATGATTATTTGGAGACAACACAATTTATTTTAAATTCAAAACAAAATCTTGAATGCAAATTTAATAAATAATGCTCCATAGCATATAACACCTATTTTAAAAATTATCCCACTTCAGACTGATGCTAGTTTGATTATGTAGCTAGTACCTATGTCACCCTCTTTAAATAAGGATCTTCAGTCTCTTTCTACAGTTAACTTCCAAAATGTTTTCAAGTTCTGAATCGTTATCTGGTATCTGCAACAGATCAAATGACTACACAAATTGGAGCTAAATCTGAAGCAAACAGTAATCACTACTGTAATCACTAATCAAGGGATTGAAATTCAGCAATATTATCAATATTGCTCTTAAAAAAATCTAAATATTCTCTTGGATTTAGTTGTCCACTGCCCTTATGTCCATTAACGTGCTATTTTCTACCAATTTTGGAAGATATATTTCATTTGAATTATAATATTTTCAAGGTATTGGATTACCTCTGAAGAGAATACAGATTATATATGATGGCATTATAGAAAGCTTTTCTCAACAGCCTCACTACTGGTTCATAGGCTGAAAATGATGTTTTTGATGTATAAAGTCAATTGACATTGGTCTTTTTTTTTTGCATTCATTATTTGATTTGATTTACAGTACTGTTTATTCCTAAGAATTTTATAAGTTCTGTAAAAACCCCAGTACAATGATATTTATGTTATTCCACAAACACATAGCACAAATGAAAGTAATGGAGGTATATGATAACCAAGGAGCTAATTGCAAAATTTAACATATACAATAGGTCAAAGAAACCTTATGTGGACCATGATAAGAAATATATTACTTCTTGGTATACATTCACACATGAATAATCTCATGTAGGAGTTACATGTCTGAAAGAAGGAATTCTATGTAGGTTTCTGATGGGTTTCTATTTATTACAGTCTAGGTTTTGAGAAATTATTTAAAAGAACCAAAGAATTGAAAACATACATGCAAGGACATGCAAAAAGCACCTCTTTTCCAAATGTTATAGCAGTTGCCTCTTTCTTCAGGTTTGTAGAACTGTCTAAGAAGTTGTTTCTAAACTATTTCCATTCCAAGCTAGGGGGTACTTCTGGAGCCATCATGTGAACCTGGGAAAAGATGTGGCTGCTTTATTAATTGAAAAAAGATGATTCATACATAGCAATAGCAATAGCACTTAGACTTATATACCACTTCACAGTGCTTTTACAGCCCTCTCTAAGCAATTTAAAGACTCAAAAAACATTTATCCTGTAATATTTGTCCCAGCTTTTATGTATTTTAGCGTAGCAGAAGCAGAAAACAAATAAGCAAATCCTAATCTGAAGGAATATATCCCATGTGCCTGGATCCTGCTTTGATGAACACTCTCATACAGCTAGAATGGTACAGTAGAAGCACAGATTTATGAGATGCATACATCTCAGTTTTTGTTTCATTCTCCTAGCAGCCTTGAAAAGATTTGATTTCCCAGCAGTACTACTAATACACAGGAAGTTGTTTAAAAAGTCACTTGTCCTGTACATGTGCCAGTTTTCTTACCTGCCAACGAAACTAATATTACACAAGTTTCCACCCAAGATGTCCATAAAGCTTTATCCATTAGTTACTTCAAAGTGCACAATATTCTCAAAAGCCTAGTGATATGTAAGCAAAAATAATTCTCAGAGTTCTAAACTAGGTCCAAAGCTATTTCAGGTATTACCAAAATGCTCTGTTGAGGTACATTAAATTGCCATTGTACTGAAAAAATAATTAACAACCTACATTTTGGGGGATCCATTATGTGAACTATTTAACTGATCAGTGATTTAGTCAGAACTTGGAGCAATCAAGGGACAAAACATAAAACACTAAAGCCAAATCTTTGAAGAGCTGCTTTGACAAACTAAGATAAGAATAGGGACATTTTATTCTTCTCATTAAGGCTAAAGAACATATTAAAGCAAAGTAATTAGAAGTGCTGGTCAAAAGCATCTCTTCTGATGACTTGTCAATTTAGCTAAAGTTCTTAAAATCTATCACTATATAATGGCTTCACAGTTGCTCAAGAAAAAAAAGTAATGACAATTTTAATTGCCAATATAACTTATAAGAAAAATCTAATGTAAGCAAATAATTTAATAACAAATGGAATGAAAACAAGGTCATTGTTTTCAATCCAAAGGTAACTATGTATTTAAAAATAAATGCAATATATTTTAACTTTTACTTTGCTACAGACTTGCTATTTTGATTGTGAAATTGAACTGTTATTGGTTTATTATATATTATATTGTACATTTGACTATTTTTAATTTACACTATTCTCAACCTGACATAAATATTATCCATAGAATATAAATGTCTTTATTAATGCCTTAATTGAATTAATAAAATACAGACAACTAAATCTTTATTTACAGTACTTGTTGTCTATTTTACAAAAGGAAAAAAACTGAAAATATAATCAGAAAGGTAATTCTAAATATACTTTGATTCTGTGACTCATTTAATTCAATTTCACTTATGTTATTTTACCTTAATGTGACCTACACTGCAGACTGTCTCACATGTGCTTTTTCTTTCAAAAGGCAACTAGACTATGCTTTTTTCCTTAAGAAAACAAAAATGATGTTTTGTTTCTTATCCAAGAAGCTGGATGATGGGAGATGGAAGGATTAGTTCTGACAGGATAGGGAACGGAATAGAAAGATTATATTTCTTTGCAGTCATCTGGTGATTAGTACTTTCTCTGAGAGATTATTACTTTCTCTGTCTTGTTTTCTTTATATCATAAGCTGCCTTAAACTTTTAAACAGAAAATCATAATATAAACTGAGCAAATAAAATACATCAACAGGATTAACCAAAACATTTCTAGTAGAGAAGCAATATATGGTGGTATTCTTTAAACCAATTACCATCAACTTCTTGGACATCTTAGGATAACTATAAGTTCCATCAAATGACTGTATCCTACAGAAGATTATGAACGGTGATCTCATATGATATGTAGTTCCTGTCAACTTTCTTTGCCATTCTACAATTTTATGTTAATACTATTGTTGGTAATCAGCAGTACAGTTTTTCACCAATTGTAGTCAGAGACTTATGAAAAGTATAGTGTAAATCTTAAATTGGAAGTACAAGTAACAAAGAAATATTGAAAAATTTCCCTAAGGAAAAATGAAAAGCCTGTTGAAGCAACTATATAGGAGAAAGTAGGTTTGTTGTTACATTTTCACTTCAGCAGATTTACAGAACAATTTCTATGCATCCTGCTTTGTTTCTTTTGTTTTCCATAGTTTCTGGTAGCATCTCAAGGCAAGCTTCTGCCCAATCCATCAGGCATCCAACCAGTGGGAATACCTGCTAGTAACACCACATGCTCTGTATTTCTTATCAAAGTGAAGAAACTGACAGCATTGCATGAAAGGCACAGCATGAGGTATTTGTGCCTTGTAATTTTCTCTTTCAATTAACATTATCATACTCTTTTTTTTCTGACAAAGATACTGTACTTTTCATGTTCCTAAACATTTAATCACACACAGGGATAATTTTTTCCTACTAAAACGGACATTGCCTATCACAATGTGGAAGGGTGTTTTGAGAAAGTTTTCTTCATACATATTTTGTCATGATTATTGATTAAAACTACAATATCCAAAATATGTATCAGGTATTTTACTGATGCTGGCATTTTTATTCTCCTCCAGTTCTCCATATTGAAACCTACTTCACTTTCTTCTCACTAATCTATGGAGATAGCTATGTTGAGAGAAGCTGGATGCCCTCCAATGGCCAAGGGCAACCTGCACTAGTCAGTCCTCCAACAACCATGCTCTCTGTTATCCATTACAGTTTGAAAAATAAAACAATAGAACCTCCCACTTTTAATGAAGGCAGGAAACAGAGAACAATACAGTACTATAAATGCAGCATTCATCCCACCTGCAACATCTAAATCAAATAATATATTTGCTTTCCTCTTTGACTGCTAACAATACTCTTCGGCCAAAGTCCAACATTTAAAGTCACTAACTGACAGAACAGGCCATCAATTTCCTACGTCAAGATACAAACACATGGACAGTCAGAAAGACCACAACATTTATAGATAAAGCAATCCAACTCAGAGTTTCTTGTCTAGATCAGATTGGGTTAACCTCTGATCTTATCAGATTATTTTATTGAATTTTGATTAGTTTGAAACACCTTATTGATTTTACCTTATTTTACTATTTTGATATGATGCTATGATTTGATGTGGTTAACTAATGAATAAACATTAAACTGAAAATTATGGATGCAGTTAGAACAACTTACACACGTGTGTGTGTGTGTGTTTGTGCGTGTTCCTGAACAATATTAAAAAAAGACATTGTCAGTACTCTCATCCTTTATCATATTTCATTCAAGAAGCCTATTGACTAAAGATGAGTGAGGGATTTAGCCAGTTTCTTCCCAGTGTTACATTTAAAATATGCAGCTATTTTCTGTTTCCATATAAGCTAAATAAAACCATGGTCATAAGTGGCCATGCCCATATATAGGCCTAAATCATATGGAAAGTAAATCTATTGAATCAAGTCACTATGAAACACTAGAAATAGACACTCGGAATATTTTGTGCAGACACATCAAAAGCACATTGTAAAATGCTTACATGAACTTCACAAGTGACATAGAGAGAGAGAGAAGAGAGAGAGAGATAGGAGTAGGGAGAGAGGGAGGGAGAGAGGGAGTGGGGAGAGAGAGGGGGAGGGAGGGAGGGAGGGAGAGAGGGAGAGGGACGGAGAGAGAGCGCATTACTATTATTGTAAATCTTAGCTCACTTCCAGTTCTCAACAATATTAACATAATGCAATGCAATAGTAGTCCAGTGCCAAAACAAAGAACTTACAGATCAGCCTTCCTTAGTATTTTTTTCATAAATGTTATACAGGTAGTTCTAGCCTAATGATCAGTCGCTTAACAACCATTCAAAATTATGATGGACCCCAAAAAGGTATTCATGATCTGGATTCAAAGCTCTGATGGTCTACCCCTCTGTGTACATTTTGGACACTTTGCAACCAGTCCACATTTACGGCCATTTTCAGCATCCTATGGTTTACACAATTTTTTGCTGAAACCTGTATGTACAATGGGTTCACTAAACAGCCACCATATTTGCTTAATAGCAATAGCCCTTAAACTTATATACCACTTTATAGTGCTTTACAGCCCTTTCTAAGCGATTTACAGAGTCAGCATATTTCCCCCAACAGTCTGGGTCCTCATTTTACCCACCTCGGAAGGATGGAAGGCTGAGTCAACTTTGAGCCTGGTGGGATTTGAACTGCCAAATTGTAAGCAGCTGGTTGCAGAAGTAGCTTGCAATACTGCACTCTAACCACTACGCCACAGAGACTCCAATGCATTCACTTAATTAATGACCACTGCATTCACTTAACAATTGCCACAAAAAATATTGTACAATCAGGCAAGTCACACAATGACCCACTTAATGACCAGCAAAAATTATGATTGTAATACCAGTTCAATTACTGTTGTTTAGTCAAATGCTACCTGTAATACGAATTATCACAATTGTAATGTGCAAAATAATTACTTCGCCATGGAATCATATGCCTTTTCCTTTTTCCACTCGTGGTAGATCTAGTTTTTAACAATTATATTATTTCTCAGTTCAGATTGTTACATAAGAAACAGGATTCATCACACTGGAAACAATTGCATTCCTTAACTGTTCATCTGATTCAAAAATTTTATTATTCTGATAAATAAAAGAAATGCTCAAGAAAATAATCCTTTAATACACTCTAATATTTAGACCGGAAGTGTGGTATGCATAAAATATATTGCTTAAATATATATAAAAAATTTCAACTTATGTCCTTTCTATATATTTTGTACATTCAAAGACAAATGAAAATTTATTAATTTGTTCAGTATATTATCAGTACTGTATTAGGTAACCATAATAATCCCTTGCTTGTTTAGAATGCAGAATCCTATAGTTTCAATAATATAAACAGTAAACAAACCTATACTTCCACAAGTTCCATTTTGGAACATGAGGAAAAGAGATATCAGATAACATTTCATACAGATAGCACCA